CCAGACTGAGAAAAGATCGTAATAATTTAAAATGAAGCTATAGAGTAACAAGTAATGAGTAGACGATACATGGCTGGGTTGATTTTATGCTAATAATAACTAAAACATTAGAGGTTAAATGCATGATTTATTTCAAGCTTTTGTCACTTCCTATGGCAAACGTTAACAAAGATTGTATAACTACTTTAGTGTATAGCTATTAATCAATTGATTAATAACCATACACTAAAGTTGTAATAAAATCTTTGCTCGTAAAACTAATTGGCAATTCCTCCTTTCTTCACAGAGTTCCCTCATGAGGCCAAGTATTTAGATTATTGTGTTGTTATTATGCACTTTTATAAACATTAAACTATACTTTGGCACGGTACAGTGTGCAGTGTTATGCGGACAAGATAATAGGTTTGTCTTAAGGTGCGTTTACACCAAAGTTGAGAATCAAAACTTTACAACCAAAAGTAGTCAACTAAAAGTTTGCAACTAATTGTTGCCCTTAACAAATTTGAGTAGCTAGTGGAAGGTTTTTTGTGGAAAACCAAAAGTTGTTCCTCTCTAACTAACTAGTGGAAAAATAGATGCCAAAGAATTGGCGCGAAATAGTCAGTAGCCCAAAAGGAAGAATGTCGTGTTGAACCACTAACAAGAGATCCGCTGGGAAAAAAGCAGGGTAAGCGTGGCACCCACTAAAGCTGACTCTTAATGAAGCCTCCAGAAACAAAGGTGTAAAGGTGCGAGAGCACCTGACACATGAGGATGTCTGGAGCAAGAAAAAGAAGACGAGACGAAAGAGGGAGAGGGCTCAGGTGTTTCACAGAGAGCACCCGCCCCCACCCATTCGGAGACACTGTCTATAGAGAAGATGGCCATCGCCAGATCTGGACACCCGGATAGGAAACGGACGGAGGCTGAAGCGAACAAAATCAACGGGGAGCTATCCAGGTGGGCCATTCGTGGCAAAGACGTCAGGATAAGCAGCTGTCATCTTGAAGACGGATCCTTGGTGGTTGGCTGTGCTAACGCAGCCACAAAGGATTGGCTGGCCAAGCAAGTTCAGGAGCTGAGTCCCTTCGGGGAAATCTAGCTTCAGCTTGCCCTAGCCAGAGACCTTGTGAAAGCTGTGAAGGTATCAGCGTTTGTTCCCACCTCAACGAGGGCAATGACCAAGAAGGACGTGATGCTGGGCCTCAAGCTGCAGATTGACGTTGACACGGACCACTGGGCGGTTGTCGGAGGAAACTCAAATCCTGACGGACAATTCCTGGTCATTATAATGGCAATGTCGCAGACACCTACCGCTGCGATAGCGGCAGATGCATTTGGGCTTAATAGGAAGGCCCTGCGGAAGGTGGTTGGCTTCATTAGCCACTGGGTATTCCGCGGACATCTACACAAGATGGAAATTTAAGTTGAAAACCTCTTATGTAGGAAATGTGGTGAGGAGGAGGAGACCTCCTTCCACGTGATATTTATGTTCCCAGCCCTACAAGGTCTGCGTATGAGATCCCTTGGCATATTGACGGGAGATCAAAGGGAAGAACATGTTACCATAGTCAAAAGGTTCTCATGGCTCACTAAGGACCTGGATCTGACGGAGAAGGAGGACCTGTGAATGAGGATGCACAATAAAGCTGTTCCAGCTGTGATGATAACCCCCTCTGTAAACAAAAAAAAAAAACGAGAGTTCCGCGAAGATATTGGGTGAGGCACTCTCTGATAGGGATGTGTACAGTGATAGTGATAGCTGATCTCAGAGAAGATTACGTCGATCCAATGAGTGGTGAGCTGAGGTGCAACGGGAGTGTATACAACTTTCTGAGAATGGACAGTATTTATCTGTTTATTTTGTATTTGAATATTTGATTTAAATAATCGGACAAACAAGTTGAGAAACGTGACACTACTACAGGTAAGCTATACCTATCAAAGAAAAGCTAGCAGTTACACTACGTTTTTTCGACTACTACGATGATACGTTCATAAGTCTTGTTTTTTTGTTTGAATTCGTCTTGGGAATAGTTCTCCCCTTCTTTTCTACAAGTTGCTTGCACAATGAGCGTGCAACTACTTCTACTTTTTGTTGTCAACTCTCTTTGATCCTTACCGACTCTCTGTGGGAAACCAAAATTTAGTGGAAGACTTGTCTCTTTACTAGTGGACGACAGGAAAAGTTGCTGTATATTATAGAACAAACGACTAATTGCCGCAACTAGTTTTTAGTGGAAGACTTTGGTGTAAACACGGCTTTATGTATACACCAAACCACATTGTTCCATTTGCTATTAATTTTATTGCTTTAGAGAAAAAAAAGTTTTATCATTCTGCTAAGCAGGAAATTCTCCCTAGTAAAAACAGTTTTATGAATCTATAAGCTATTATATAATAAGCTATTAAATTTTCAAGGAACATCCATCAAATAACCAATTCCGGAACAGACCTAGCAATTATGCTAAACGGTTACAACTGATTATGACGTTTTTATTAATTTAATACTTGTTAAGTAGACTACTATAACTTTAAATATTATATTTGGAACAAAACTATACATTTTGTTTCAGTATATTTAGAGCGATGAATACCAATTCACTATTTACACAACGTCAATGAGCTTAAATTCAACATTCGATCACCATCACTGTGACATGGTGATGCTCCACAATTTGATTGTACCTAATCTACAACTAATTATGTAATTGTAACTTCTAAACGTATGTATTGATTTATTCTTGGAGTTGGAGGAAAGTCATAAATTAATGAGACTTGAACGTATTTACATTTATACTTTGTCAGGCACAGAAAGAAAAGTATAAAAATTAACGTATATGAACATAAACAATTTTACAACTTTATTTGAATGAAAACATTTGAGGAGAAAAAACTAAAATACAAAAGAAAAATTTTGCTAGTCTGAATAATTTTTTTATTATATTAAATTCAAACCAAATGTGGATCGAGTTTAGTACCAATTGGTACAAAAGTAAATTATTAGGCAATGCTGGAATGATTAACAGAGCTTTAATGATCCTCCTAGAATTCATTAAAATGCGGCATGCAACATGTTTGCAATACAAAGACTACCATAGCTATACAAGAGTAATTAGATTAAATCTGTCAATTCTACTCCTTTACACTTTCATAAATATTTAATTATAACTTAACTATGTATGTTAACTGTATACGAGGTAGTTCCAGGGTACTTAGTAGCATTGCTCTGTACATTGTTTAATTTACATATACGTTTTCATATAATTAGTACAATATAAGTTAACTTAAGTATCAAAGATGTATTGGTGAATAGAAACACTATTAACCTAAACTGTAAATAATTACACATTAAAATGATTGCAAAAGAGACTGCAAATTTACAACAAGAAGAACAAGCAGGTTTTCGAGCAGGACGATCAACGGTGGATAATATTTTTGTATTGAAGCATTTGGTGGAAAGAAGATGTATGTACGGCAAAGAGACGCATGTAGCATTTTTAGATTTAGAAAAGGCTTATGACAATGTCCCTATTGAAGCTTTATGGGGGCAGCTGAAGAAGATGAATATTAGTCCTGTCTTGATCCTTGCCGCACAAAATTTGTACAAGGAGAATACAGCTCGAGTTCGGTTAGGAAATGAGCTAAGTGATATATTTCGAGTCACGAAAGGCCTGAGGCAAGGGTGTGGTTTATCGCCAACGCTGTTTAAACTTTATCTTGGCATTTCAAGAAATTGGCAGAGGAGGTGTGATGGGAGTACAACTAGAAGAAAGTCGTTTGTTCACCTTGTATTTTGCGGACGATCAGGTGGTTTTGGCGGAAGATAGAGAGGACTTGAGCTACATGGTCAGGAAATTGAAAGAAGAATATGAGTTAAATGGACTGGTACTGAATGTGGGGAAGTGTGAGTATCTGGTGGTTGGGAGCGACATAGTGGAGAACCTGCCTTTAGAAGATGGAGAAGTCAAGGGGGTCAGAAGAGCTAAATATTTAGGAGTGATATTTGACAAGTCTGGAAGCAGTGGTGTGGAAGTTGAGGAGAGGATTCAGAAGGGAAGGAAAGTGACAAGGGCTTTTAATTCTGTTTGGTGGGATAGGGGTGTGTCAAAGAAAACAAAGAAGAGGATTTATAAGTCTATGGTGCAGAGTGTGGTATTGTATGGCTCGGAAGTCTGGGAGTTGAAACAAAGGAACACTGGAAAGTTGTTGGCTACGGAGATGGATGTGCTCAGGAGGAGTTGTAGGAAGAGAAGATTGGACAGGGTGAGGAACGAAGATATTAGAAGATAAATGGAAGTGGAAGGAGACATAATAGATGAGGTTCAAAGAAAACAGTTGGTCTGGTTCGGCCATATAAATCGGATGGAGGAGGGTCGGCTCCCACGGCAGGTTATGAACTGGGTTCCACCTTGGAGGAAAAAGAGAGGACGACCCAGGCGCAGTTGGCGGATGGGGATTCAGGAGGCAATGGCGACAAGAGGCCTTGAGATCGGCGACTGTGCCGATAGACAGCTTTGGAAGCTGGGAGCGGAGAGACGGCGCGAGCTGTAGAGATCCGCAACAAGTAACAAGTAAGTAAATGATTGCAACAATACTTATTAATAAAATAAAATTTAATTAGAGGTTTATTATAAAACTTAATAATGTATGATCAGCAGTGTCCGGTAAATATTTTTGTTTAACTATTTTGTCAAACAATATTTATAGGGATGCACTATGGATGCGATGCTCCCTGTTGTGGATTAACGTCCGCACTAGTGAGTACTACGACTATCCGCAGTTCTATCCTGATAATTAGACCAATTCGTAAATTACAAGGGAAAATGTGGTTCGGATTCCACTATAAACTGTAGGTCCCTTAGTTGCCATTAGCTGTATGGGCTATTAATTAACAGCTGTGTCTAAGGATCATGTCGGCCTTAGTCACTAACAAGACTACAAGATCGCGCCACTCATCCTTCACTCATATTTGGGTTAAAATACGCACATAGTGGCGACCCCATCTTAAATAATTGATAATTTGATAATTGATAATTGATAATCGATAATTGATAATTGATAATTTTTGGACTCTGGCTAAATAATCCATTAATAATTACCTTTTAGCATAGTTACAGATGGAAATCAATCAGTTTGGACCCTACCATGCTGTACAGTTTCATTACGCTGTACACAACGATTTGGGCAGTGATTTGATGCAAAGTTGACTGGTGAGCTCATGAAACGTTGTACCAACACTGCATTATTTGTTATTACCGTAATTATATCTATTTGAGGGTAAAAAAGTTAGTCGATGTTCTAAGCATGAAACTTCAAGGTCAAATTAATAATGTTGTGAGTTTATTAGACCAAATAGGGGTTTAATGTATTCATGAAAATAATATCATCAATTCTATAATACATTTATGGACGCAGCTTTGATATGGAAACGGTGTATAGTAGAAATCCCCCGCATTGAGCCCCGCGTTCTGATTGGTCGAGAGCTCGATGACGTCACAAAGATGGCGGAAGGAGTAGGGCAAAAAGTGTTTGGCGGGAGCTGGGATGGAACCTGGTCCGACGGCATGAGAAGCCGAAACGCTAACCACTGAGCCACGGCGCTCGATGTTAGACATTGTGTCGAGGTCGTATACGAGGGCCGGCTTCGAGGGCCGGCATCGGGGGTCGGTATCGTGGATGTTTTTTTTTTCTTTGGCACGAGATGATCGTGGTTCTGCTTTTCTCCACCAGAGTGTGCTGATATCGTCTGTTTTGGGAAAAAAGGTGGTTCCGTCCTTCTCCACCAGAGTGTGTTGATACCTAGGTCGACTGGTCTCTAAACCTATTGATGTATTTTTGTTTGTTTATGGTTATATTAAATTGATTGTGGTTCTGCGTTTCTCCACTAGAGTGTGCTGATATTGTCTGTTGTCCACTAGAGTGTGTTAATACTATGGTTCTGTTTTTCTCCACTAGGTTTAACTGAATTATATGAAATGTCACTCTTATAGTTGTACAAGCTTGGTTGTTTCATAGTTGTATCCTCATTTATGTTAATAATAATATGTTTGGTACTTTGAACTATTTGAGATGTTACTGTTGTCACGATGATACCACATCAATTATTTCATGTTGATTAACGAGTGCTAATTACCATCTTGTATGGATGGAATATTCTTTGTTACTTTTAATTTTTGCATTCTTTGAAAAACTGAAATAACATGATTCTTATAGTATGGTAAAATGTCAAAAAGGAGAGTGAAAGTAAAAATATGGTTGAATAAAAAATGATGTGTTTATTATACTAAAAGATGTTTACACATGTTACATAACATTTATGAAATAGTGTTAATAAATGATTATTAAGATTTATATATAAAATCATTAATACTTAACAAAAGTTATTTTTACATATATAACAAGAATAAGAATATATTTATTTCCCTTAAAATCAGTTAAACAAGTCTATGATATAATAAACTAAGAGTACTTGAATACTAAGATATACATATATACAATTAAAAATAATATTAACATACAGGAATGCATTTGAGGTAAAATATAATAAACAGTATAAAATGATATAAAATTACATTTTCATCCATTTGTGAGCTATGTATCAATTTTTAAATCTATAGTTTATCGGTAAGCATAAAATCGATTGCAAACTGTTTACTGAGCAAAGTGAAAAGACTTTTTTTTAAATAAATATTATATTTCGCCTCAAAAGCGTTCCTACATGTTGGACATGTTCCAAGAAATAGCAAACAGGGTCCACAAAATATATGCCCACACGGTATCAGTACCACTGATGGAGTAGACTCCATACATATCGGACACTCAAGATGTTGTTCTCGGGCTGGCCCTGGGTCCATCGATGGTCTTGTGTGGTCATAGACGTTGTAGTCGTCATTCCTGTGTTCAGCCGCATACGATCGCATCAACCTGTTGTCTGCTGCCAAGGCTGTCGTCAGGGAATGATAAATTCCTCTGAAGACAGTAGCAGCTAACAATTGCTGTTGGATCGCACTCGTCCGAGCCACAAAGTAGCTGACGAAAACAAGTAGATCTCGAAGCTTCTGTATCCACTGTCTCACTACATTGGATGCTCTTGGATCTGTCCAGTCACATCGCCACTCCTCCCTTAGTTATGCATTGGTGTTCTGTAAAATAAAGCAGAGAGTCTTAGAGTTTGGAATTAAAAAATGTTTGGTATACAGACAATATGTTAGGAACTGTTTGGAATTTGAGTTTAACAACAGGTTAGTCGTGCTAAATATATAAAACATGCATGTTTTATGTAAAATGCATACCGTCACAATGTTGTCCACCCTGTCCAAGATGCGTTTGGAGACTAGTAGCTGGTTTGGTGATATGTAACCTCCAGAATGTTGGAGCATACCACAGCAGTACCCACACAACCCCCAGAAGCTTCTTGGGTCTGTAGAAGCTGTTCTCTGGGGCTGATTTGCTGCATTGCTAGTGGTAGCAATATTGACATTCTGGTTCTGTAAAAAATTAAAGACGATTAGTATTTACTATTTAAAACAAATGATTGATAACTTGTCTGTACCTATAGTCATTTACTATTTAAAACGATTTGTTCATAACTTGTCTGTACCTATAGTCTTCTAGAAACTTACACGGTGATTGGTTATGTCTTGTAGGGGTGTGGGTCGGTTCCGTTGTGGTGGTGGGAAGGCAAAAACGTCCTCGTCGTCCTCCTCCTCTTCTATAGGTCTTGAGGTTGGTTGTTCCGAACTGCGACGCAGGATGTTGGGCCGTCGAGAGCTGGTAGGGGTAGGAGGAGCATTGGTTGACTGGGCCTGATTGGATGGTGTCCTCCTGACCGACAACCAGCCTGATGAAGAAGAAGAAGCTTGATTTTCTGCCAGGATCCTCTGCATCCAGGCAGGGAGAACTCGTCGGTTCTCGTCAACCGGTTCGCTAGCTTGGGAGGTCGATGGAGTCGGGGCAGGGTTTGCAGTTTGCTGCCTGGCTCTTGAGGGTAGCCGAAGACCCATAAAACTCCTGCGGAACCGAGCTCTCAGGTGGTCAGGGAGATTCTCGATGGCTGTAATAAAGTCCTCCATCGCAGCATCGCAGGCCTGGGGGTTACCCTGAAAATTATAATAGTGCTCTTGAAAATACCTATACATGAATCTCTTTGAAGTGTTAAAAATCCTAGTTGTGACTCAACCCAAATTCATACATTATGTTTAAAGAAGGAGAAATATTGAATAATTATTATCATAGTAAATATCATTTTTGTAAAAATATAACTATTGCTAGTCCATTGAAGCAATATCTTGATAAACCATAGTTAAATATTTTTTGAATAAATACATACTCATTATTTGGATAAATATAGTCAGTTTGATAATATAAATCAATACTCTATGTAAAATAAATTGCATTATTATTATTAAATACATACGCTCGAGGCTGGACCTCGAAAGTGAGGCATGAGCCTATCTAGGCTTTGACGAACTCTCGTCCAAGCCTGATGATACTCGACATCTATTGAGTCTAGCGTCTCAGTCAACAACAGAGTTCGGCGTGCCTTAATTAGCATCTGCTGTGTAACATCCCTTTCCTCCCTTTCTATGTCAGTTGTATCATCTTCTTCGCTGGAGATCTCCTCGACCATGTCAAGGTTCTCTTCTGGTGCGAAGAGATCCCTGTCGTCTGAGGACTGCTGAGGAGCAGGAGGCTACATAAAAATAGTCAAAAATAATGTTTGTAATATAGATCTGATTTAAAAAGAATTTCTTTATAAAATTTAACTTATGTTTTTTGATAGCTTTTAGATTTTTAGTAAAGAGTAAACCCATTTATATGTGAACGTACTAGTGATTATGTTATAATAAAAATAAAAAAAAAAAATAAAAAAAAAACAGGTTATGGTTAATGGAGAATCTTTAATAGTGAATAGTGTATATTTATAACATTGTTAATAACTTGTTGCAAAGGTTAATTTATAAGCGTATTAGGAGAATTATTAAACAGGTAGTTTTTAAAATATTGTAAAATCACATACCTGATTCGGGGGTCGGATAGCGACACAGCAGGTCACTATGAAGAGCATGTAGAAGAGCACAGCTGTAGAAGTTAGCTTGGTCATGTTGAAGCGACTGAGGCTTGCAACGATTGCGGGCGTATTAAATAGCGCTGGCTTCTTAACGTCAAGGCTCTACAAGGTCAGGCGTGTCCCGCCATTCTGAGACAAGGCATAGTTATTATGTAAGGGGCCTCACTTATAGAGATAGCTAGCAAAAGACAAAACGCTATCTCCTATTTATATTTTTGAC